CGCTGAACCATAAACCCCGAACCTTAAACCCTGAACCATAAACCCCGAACCTTAAACCCTGAACCCTAAACCCTAGAAGCTCTAACCCTAAACCTAAACTTGAACCCCGAATGTTTAACCTAAACCCTGAACCGGCCCACCCAATCTATTAACCCTAAACCTAACCCTAATCTCCGAACCTTAACCCTAATGCTAGATCCTGAGTGTCGAACCCTGAACCTCTCACTCTGAAGGCTAAATCCACCTGAAGCCGTAAGGTTAAGTCCAAATCGTAAACATCCAACCCTATACTCTTTGCCCCTAATGGTAACTTCCGGAGGCTAAGCATAAACGCTAAGCCTCAAACTCCCCACTTCTTGGCCCCCCCCCACAGACGCTAGCCCCCCACTCCGGCCGTCACCTTCGGACTCCCCCCTCTGACCCTCTTCTGCGTGTCTCTCGCTTTAGGTGAAAGAATCCAGCTGCGGACTGCCATTAGGCTCAGCCCCAGTGGATCAGCCACGTGAAGCTTTGACGGCTGCCTTTGACCATCTGTCCTTACGTCCTCCTCTCGGGGGCCATACCACAGGCGGCTAGGGGAGCTGACCTTGGGCTGAGGCGTGGGGGATTTGTGGTGTGGTGTCTTTAAAGAAATTCTCAGCCCCTGGGATGGATGCGGCTTCATCTACCTCCTGATATCCGCTGCGGGATGGGCTGGGCCTGGAGTTGTTTTAAAGGCTATGATCTTCCCGTGTGCTCCAGTCAGGAGATGTGCTTGAGACTCCGCTCCTGCTGCTTAGTGTGTGCTGGTTGACAGCACCGTCAGCTTAGTCCTTAACTCTAACTCCTTTGTCCCCCCACTTTCAATTCTAGGGAGATGAACTCATATACGCCACTCGGGTCCCCTCAGGAGCTGTCCACCGGCTAGGCTGAGGTCTGGTGTTTCTCTTTGTTCTATACACTCGGTAGATACCATACATCGCTGCGACACTCAGGATTGTGCTCATCACTGCCCCTATTATTTGACCGGTGCCTAAGATTACGGCCTGAGGCTCAGCGTCCCTAATCGGAGACCCCTGAGCATCGGCTGAAGGCTTGGGTTCTGGGTTCTCAGCTTGTCCGAAGAGAGTTGGGGTTGGAGTCTGTTGTTTGCTGGGGGTGTTCTGGATTTTCTCTCCTTGTCCCGCCGGCCCCCCAAGCTGTTGCCCCTGTTCTGGCTGACTCGACTGGCCGAGACTTTGGGTGATAGTTGCGGTGGCGTTGGGGTTTATCCGCTCCACTTCACCAGTAACATGAGATGATGCCACTTGCTCCTCTGGCGTTGCCGATCCGTGGGGCGATTGGTTTTTCTTGTGTTGGTTCGGATGCGCATCTTCGGATGTCAGCTGGTCAGATTTGCCCGTCTTGAAGACTACTGCTTGGGCCGCCTCATGGGTAATGAGATGCCGTTGTGTTATTGTCTCTACCGCTTCCTGCATTCTCCGCCGGCTGTCTTCCAGCTTTCGCCTTAACTCTTCCTGCTCTTCTTGTTTGTCTGTGCTAAGCTCCAGTGGTTGGGGCTTCGGCCTTGTTCTTTCTGTCACGAGCCTTTCTTTGCTGTTAGTCCAAATATTCAGTCCTATTTCACTGGAATTTCCGCTTGATCCGCTACATTGAAAGACGCCTTTCGTTATACGACATGCTCCCATGCTGCTCAGATCCCATGAACGCCTCCTTAGGAGCCCTGTCAGCTCATAATTTCTGCCATAGCTGGAACACTTGCTCAAGCCATAATATATACTCAAAAGAAACCCAAAACCATCATATCTATTTGTATCATCACCCCTCAGATCCTGAATTAAGTCTAGAAATTCTTCGAGCTTCTCTACTTTCTGTTGCCCGAGGCCCCTGTTCTCTTCCCTTAAGTCCACCGCCACAGTTTCCCAAATCTTCTTACAATGCTGCGCTAGTCTCCCCCTTCCTGGCTTTAGGTGCTGCTCGTTCGGCATAAGGGCCGCTATTAAACATGCCAGACACCTCAACATACCCTGACCTGAATCATTAGCTGACCAGTCATCTTGGACCCCATCTCTCAAAGCAACTCTCCAGTTATTTTCTGTCCATAGTGTTTTGGTCCCGCTTGCTGTTTTAGCCCTTATATTTGTTACATTTAGTGCTTCATACATTACACACATTAAGAGGCCCTTCCACTGCTCGTTATCTGTCCCTTTCGGCATTACCTCCTGCTTAAGTTGATTATCTGAATTCATTAACCCATTCCAGTCCAGTCCGTCAGTGCCTTTCTTATAGGAGCTTGCCCATGCCCCCAGAAATCCCTTGGCTGCCCCTTCTACGGCTTCTAATCTCCCTAGACAATATTTCTGCTGCTTCGGGAGACATGTTGAGTCCTTTGGGGGGGTTGGGAGCCCTGCCCAACTGGACTGCTTTAAACTTACTTTCATCCTGCTGTTCTATTATACGGTGCTACTGTGGTATCTCCCCTGTTCAATAAGAGCCCTACCTCCTCCTGATCAAAAGTTGGGCACAGTCTTCGCGAGATCGCCACTCGCCTGCTCTAGTTCATCTCGGTTCATATGACTGACATGCTTAAGTCCTCCCTATTCTCTCCGGAGTTTAACCTCCCGCACGACTTCTTCCCTGGGCCCCCTGAAATCCAAAACCTCCCCCTCAGGCTCCGTGGTTGGGCACTTGAGTCCTATATTCCGCCTCCTTCTTAGGTTAATCTACCTTCCGGAGAAGGTCTCCTGGGGCGTACCCTACCTATCAACGAAGCGAGGCCTCCTTTAGCTCCTTCCCTCTCTTTTTTACCTGACCTCAATTGCTCTCGTGATTCGAGGCACCTAGGGGGTGTCCGGGTCATCCTCCCTCGCGCTCAAGATTATGAGTCATTTGTCCCACGAGACTGCGCCCCTGCGTCCGGGGTAGTGGTCGGTCTCCGTGTCCCCCATTTCTTGGTCTACCCCCCCTTTATCACTTGTTACCTGATGGTCAGAGAGACTTGGGATTCTCTTCGCCTCTTGTGGCTTAGGGTGCCCGTCTTCGCACTTGTGCGACTTATTGTTCCTCCTTCGCCTGATTTGGGCCTCGTCCTAAGTTTCCGTGGGAGTTTTAACGATTTCTTCTTGTTTGTTTCAGTCCTTGACTCTTCTACGGAGAGACCTCCAAGAAACTTCCTCCTGTAACATATTTGGAGGCTTGAATTCCTTTTTTTTGATTCGTCGTGCAGTCCCAGTCTTATGCCTATTAGTGCCTTAGCCTTCTCTGCTGGGTGACTTGGCGTGCCCCTTCTCTGTTCATGTGAGGTGGAAGAGTTGGATGAAATATGTCCTTCCTTTTGGATCCTCCCTCTACTACCTGTTGTGAGTGTCGTCTTCGCGATTTTCCTTTTGGGATTCGTCTTGCAGTGAGAATCTCCACGCTCTTGATGAGGAATCATTCCTCATCGCTAGTTGTATTTTATACCCATCTTGATGCCTCTTTCAGTCTCTTTGTTTTGCCCTAATTTTTCCTGTTCACTCTCCTGGAGTGGTCTGTCCTGCTTCGGGCTCTTTGTCCGCCCTACTCCTTATGTTTTCCGCTTTGGACTTTACTGTCCTTTTCGTGCGCCTGTTACTTCTTCCTCACGAATTGGGTTTCTTTTGACAATTGCATCTATTTCGTTCTTTCTGGTGTCTCCTCTGCCCCCTCGACCTGTTCTGTGAGACCTCTGGGCCGATGCTCTTAAGATACTGTCCGGTCCTTGACTTCTACTGCTTCTAGTTCCAACTTCTCTTAAGCTGATTCCTAGTTGGCTTGCCCGTTGCCTGTTACTTTTGAATTCTTCCGTTGGCTCGGTCTAATTTCCATATTCTAGTCATTATTCCAACCAGTTCATTCCATCTCATTTGATCCTTAGGCTTGTTAGTCCCTTATTGTTGTGCTCCAGTTTTCGATACTGCCCTATATGTTCTCATCTTCTCCTTCCGAGGGAAGTCCTGCTATAAGACCTCTTCAGCGAACAGAGGTTGGTTGACTCGTCCTTTCCTGTCCTGTTAGCCCAATTCCCCCGGAATCCTCCATCATAGAACTCTAAACTCCCTCCTCTCCGTAGTCCAGAAATCTGTTCGGTATCCTCTTAGGTATCTGCCTGAGTGGATCCCTTATGATTGATTACCATAGGAACTTTCGGCGACTTGCGGGGGGCTCTTCGGTGCTAGGTTCGGACTTGCCTTCCGATTGGCTAGGTTTTATGGGCTGTTGGGGGGTTCGTGGATGACTCGCCGATATCCTCCATCCAGACTGGACCGTTGTTGATACTCTATGCAGTCGAACTCCTTATAACTAGGGCCTGATTTTCCCTAGCGACAGGTAGTCACTTGCTGGTGAATTCCCTGCACAGATTTGGATATTATGGAGCTCCTCACTTAGGTTCATACCTCGTCCTGGTTCTGTCTGGGGGGCTCCTTGGAATTTGTCCGGTTCGGCCTATCTCGAGGCCAATACCCGTCCTATAGGAGTAGTGCCTAGCATCGCTTCTGCTGTTTTACTGACTCCTAAGGAGAGTCCTGCTCCGTATTCGTTGTGAGATGTTTCCTTCTTATGGGGAGTGGGTTGTGAGGCTAACGGATGTTGTTTTCCTCTCAGTCTCTTACCCTACCTGAGGAGCCAGGGTGGTTGGCTTGGTTTGAAAGCTGTTTTGCTTATTTTTGGTCAGAGTGGTCAATGGATTTTTCGTTCAGACGCTGTGATCCCTGAGCTGATTTATCCCATTGAGGACTTGGAACAGCTGTAGCCTTTTGTGGGGAAGCTTCATCCGGCCCAGAATTTCCTGTCCTTCGATTGTGCTTCTTCGAATGGCCCTTTGGGTTGACTTGGGTCGGGGGAGCTTGCGGGTGGATGGTTTTAGCTTAGAGAAAATCGCTCTTACCTCAAGGACGGAGCTGTTGTTCTGTTACTGAGCTTTAGCTGACCCTCTGGTTCAATGCTGAAATGCGGTAGTTTTCGCCTGTTCGAGACTCTTCCGTCCTTCTTTTTAGATTTTCAGCCGCTCTCTATACCTCTTGAGATGACTCGTGCCGGGAAGGAACCAGTTTCTCTTTCACTAAGAGACTATATGATCTTCTTATTCCAGTAGGGGATTCCTCCCAGCTTAACTTCTCAGCTGGTACTGCGATCCGGTTAGGAGCTTCACGTGCGAGAGAGTCAGGATGCAGAAATCAGATGAGGTAATCTGTTGCAGACCTTAAATTTGTTCCGTTTTGACGTCTTAGTTCATAGCTCAGTTGCTTCGAAGTCCAATTCGGCGGTTTGTTCTGGTGCCTCTTCTACCGTCCGCCTTCTGTCCTCGTTGCAGGTGATCTGTTGCTCTGGTAGGAGTGTTATCTGTACTGCCCTTGGTTATCATAAAGACTCTTCCTATCTTTCTTTTTGCTTTTTCGAGCCTTGGCCAGTTTTCCACTTTAAACAAGCTGCCCCGATCTGCTGACTACTTGCTTCGCTTAGCTTAATATGATCATCTCACACGCTACTCCTATATAGAGTTTTGACCTGTCCATAGTTGCGATTTTATGTGAGTCTCGTCTTCCTTTATTTTGGATTAATCGCTGGTGCCTTCTGAATTGGGGTGTGTGGGGAAGATATTCCGGGGGAGCGGGAGGAGACGGTGAGAATTGTACGCTTGGGGGGTCAAGTTTGGTTCTTCGGTCAGTTTGTGCCTTGGGGATGCTATGTTTCTTTGAGATAGATATTGGTCAGTCTCCTTTTGTGACTCAGAATTCTTGGGTGAGCTCTCTTTTTGCATCTGGATTCTTGGATCCTTTTGCGCCTTTTGATTGGAAGTTGTTGCTTTTCACCTTTACCCTGTTCCTGACCTGTGTGGATTCTTGCTTCCCTTATTAATTAAATCTCTTCGGACGTGTACCCGCATCACTTGTCCTTAACTTAGCTTGTTCCATTCTTCTTCTCTATTACTCAACCTTCTTAGAGGCTCCGTTTCCCTTTCCATACGGACTGGATTGCCCCTTTGTCCTGGTTATCGTCCTTTTCTTCTTTATTTTGAGGAGTTCGTACTGTTCGCTTCTCCGATCGGCTTGGCTTTGAGTTCGTTTCTTTTCCAGACGCTTTAACTACTTCATCTTTCGTATCTCCAAGCTACTTATTTTTTCCCTCTCGGCTTATCCGTGTCGACGTCTCTGTCTCCTGAGTCGCTTGAAGTGGGGTTGCCTGCTGCTAGGGGATTCGGGTTTTGGATCTCTAGTTGTCTTGCTCAGTCCGGATTTTGGAATTTCCTTTTATTCCCCCTTGGGGGTCAGAATTAGGATGGCCCCTATTGGTCCCTCGGTCCTCTTTCGGAATCTATTACCCCAGGTGCCTCCATATGGGTGTTCTTGGTACTCCTGGATTTGGCTTAACCTGGGATTTGTCGGGTGCGTAAACTTCTCTTCTATTTGAAGATAGTCATTCTCATCCACTTGTATGAGCTGATACATTTAATAATCCTGGGCTTGGAGGCTGTTTCCCATATTTCTCACTCTTGAAGTCGTCGTTAAGCTCTTCTGTTGTTCCTTTTTCTTTTGGTTCCGTTAGATGAGGTCGTCCAACTAAGACGAAATTATTTTGGCAGATGATGCTTTCTCATTATTCCGCAGATCTCAGTTAATATTATACTATTTGAAACTTCTGTTGAGGGTTTGTGTCGAATGAGTAGTAGCTGTTCTCTTGATTTCTCCCGCCGTCTGACTTAGCCTGGTCTGAACCCTTGGGGTAGGGGGACGTACCTGGGATGTTCGATACTGATAATATTGGGATCTGTTGTTGTCTGAATAATTAACTTAACTGTCAATCTTACTCACAGGGTCTTGGTATAAAGTTGTGGTCAGATTCCTTCATCTATAGATTGTAGTGGTTTTACTTGGTCTGTGTTGTTCCTCGGTTAGAAAGATATATGGGATGAGTTGCAGACGGGTGGGTTTGCTGTGTTCTGGCTGGCTTCGTATCGTGGGCATTAGCAAGATTCATCTTATCCTGTCGTCTATTATCATCGTTTCTCATTATTTTGGATGGCCCTGAGATTCGATAATGTATCTATATTTGCCTGAGGCGGGGGTGGATCGTTCCGGGGCCATCCGTGGAAGTTGGCTAGGCCTTGACTCCTCCTTTCACTTCCTACTTGCCTTAGATATTAATTGTTTTGTCATGATTGGCTCTCTTGTAGTAATTAAACAATCTGCTCATTTTCTCATATATGGACTAGGAGAGATTAAGATTTGTTCAGGAGCCTGCCGCCAATAACATAAGCCTTCGCTCGTTGAGGTCCCACTGCTCCTTTTGCTTTATTAGAAATCTTAAGATAGTTTCTAATTGCATTGGATTATCATATCTAGTTGAGGAACTCATATATACGACTCCTCATATATTGGAGCTTATTACGACGGCAGAAAGAGAGTTAATGACTAAATATTTCTTCTATATCCTTCTTCTATAATCTATAAGGGGTCGTGTAGGAATTTTCTTCGCTCATATCCTGTGTGGATTCTACAATCATTCTACAATTATTATCTTAGTAACCTAATTACATGATGCTTGCTGTTTTTTTTATTGATCCTATTCTGGGCACTATGGGAAATGTAATCCAGATTAGGATAGAACACTAGTCAATTTTTTTGTTGTATCTATTAATTCTTGAACTTTACTAATTATTAATGTACATTCATATCATATAATACTTATGGGGTTGTAGAGACATTAATTTGTCCCTTTCTTTTTTAGAGCACTCTCCTTGGGTTTTATTTTAATATCTCTAATCGTTTTATCATAGATTGGGAGTCTGAGAATATGACTTATATAGCCTTATATCCTTTGATAAAGAACTAATTATACCTTTTATAATGATTTCATTATTTAATACGGTGTGCATCATACGAAATATATCACGAGATTCTTATTTCTTGGACTAGAAAACAACGTATAATTGTAGATCTTCTTTCTCCTCCTTCTTGGTTCTTAAAAATTAGCCGAACGAGAGAAAGGAATAAACAAATAATCGGAATAAATCCAATCATTCACTATGCCGATAAAATCTTCCTGGATTTCTGTTATATTACTCTGTTTCTGTTAATCTATCCTAAAGAATAAGGGTTCCTGTAGGTAATATACTCTTGTGGTGATTTTTTAAAGTTAAAATGAGAGAAGAAGATGTAAAGCTGAGATGAAATAGGAAATGAATCATTCCTTAATACGTGTAAAAAATAAATAAAACAATTGTATACCCTCGTAACATGCCCAGAGTCATCTTTTAGCTTAATCCCTAGATATGTTAATCGTTAAGGAGATGATATATCTCTTAGGACTATGAATTTATTGATAGAGAAGAATATTCCTATCACATTAATTACACTTTGCAGGGATTACTTTTGGGAGACAGTAACGGAATGGTAAGGAGGTGTAGTGATCAAGTTTGTTGTCTATAGTAAATTTGATAAATTGAGGTGGGGAAAATTTTCCACATCATCCAGTTCACAACTAAATCAGTCTGCTGGGGTAGGCTATTAGATATATAGAGTATAGCAGTTCATACTATTCCAACCTAGCTGTTGCTATGCCTTCTGCGGGGGTTTCAAAGATTCTTTACATGATTGGTCGGGAATAAGACTTGATACAACTCATAAATGGTACGACAGAATGTCTTCAGTATTGTTCTTAATAAAGCGCGCGAATATAAAAGTCCTGTCAACTCACCTACGATCCTTAACTTTCGAAGTTTTTGCGGATATGACTAATTCCATATTCTATGGCTTCAGAATAATTCTACTTTGCCGGAATGGAACAATACATTCGGTTTTATACGCAGCTTGGCGGCTCTCAACATATACTGTAGTGTAGGCTTAGTTGTGTCTGATGAAAACTGTCAATTTAAAGTATGATAGTTTGGATTCTTGATTAAATTTAGTGAAATACGAATTTCAGTTGTCAATAATTCCTTAAAAAAACATAGTTTCAGCTCACATGCCAATCTTCGCACCTCTTCTAAATTTAGTTTCACGTCTGAAGATGCACTTTTTTCTTCCTGTATTCGTCTATCGGGGCGCTCAAGGCTTATGGGTTGGTTCCCCACCTTTATATTTCCCTTTACATTCTGCCCGTTTCCTGTTGTCTATATTTTTCCCTAGGTTTCATTCTATTTAGGAATAACGGTTACTTTCTCCTTTCTCCATTTTGAGTCAAACCCGTCCTTTTTAAATTCAGATATAATTTCCTCCTCGGGGCATATTTTTCTCTAACAGGATGGGTTACGCGGGTTTCTTATGTCATGAATCTTGGATTTATATATAACACTCTGGCGCAACTTATCCACACATTACATGAGTAAAAGGGCGGCTGATTTCTCTTATTCATCCTCAATGAGTCTTCTCATTGCCAAAATACTGCTATATATAAAAGGGGGGAGGACTTCTCAAAATTAAGAGTTTATTCTCATAGCCACTTTGCTCATACTTTGCAATGGAATAGAAAGAAGTAAAATAAAAGTCTTCTGAGTATTGCAATCCAAAGAATTGGAATCCTTATATTCGAAATCAGGGCAACACAGAATATACAGGTAAGAACAGAGCTTTCATGTTAGACCCTTGACCAGTAGTGACCCATGCAGTCAACATAGATATGTTATGATTACGATTCTAGATACAGCAAGAAGGGACACCTTTACACTAACCGTAGAGACACCAAAGGTCGTAACTCTTCCAGAATCTACATCAAAAAGTTTGTTATATCTTTACAAAAAGAAAATAGGTTTTAAGGAAGCCTTTGAAACTTCAAAGAAGAAATAAATCTATTTTAAACAATTATATATTTTCATGTATAAAATCACAAATGGTATCATAGGATATTACATCCTAGGACAACAAATAATATTGTAGAGTTTGTAATTCTAGCCATAACCCTCAATACAAACAGAAAAAGATTTGGAACACCAATTAATATATGTAAGAAATTTCGTACTTATATATGTTTCTCGCTAACTGTGAATAATCGCATGTATTCTGAGACATGAAAGTTTGCAATCAACTCCTCTATTATTTGATGTAGTATTGGGCCCTGTCAAAATCCCACCTCATATGTTACCGTAAGTGTCCTCTGTCGTGTTCACCTTGCTTTCCTGCAGGTTCATTTGTTCTGTGTTAACATTGCTTTAGGTACTCTTACTTGTTAGGTTATTTTTGTTCCTCTTGGTTATATGGGGCTACTTCTCCCTTGTCTTTTCACATTCAGCTTGAGGTTCATTTTCGTCGATACTGTTAAAGCAGTTATATGGTTCTACCCTATATATTTATTTTCCCTCTAAAATGGAGAATTTTGCTCGAGGTGGCAGTACCTTCAATGCATAAACTTCATTTTGGGAATTTTTTCTACTTCATTTTTCTCTTCTCCCCTTCCTAATATGATAAGTGGTTGGTATATTATGGAGATTGGTATCCCTCTTTGAAACCTATTTTCGTAACATTAATGTTATCAAAACCGATGATATTCTAGGGAGAACAGTACTTTGCATATAATACTACTGTTAGGATACCGCATTTTCTCAAATAATGCTACTGTAGATACATCACAGGATTTGGTAAAACTGTGATGTCCTTATAGTACAACTGGGATTTTAACCCCTTCAAAAATAAGGTACCTCAAATGAGAAGACATCCGTGCAGTATGAACAATCGTTGTATTCAAATAACGAAACGTCCAATGTTTCATCCACCGCATATTAATATTCGGGGCATATAATTTTAACTTATTATATACTACTCCTCGTCTATTCCTACGGTTAATAGAATAGTGTTCCCTATCTAAAAGCACTTTGTGTATATCGAAACCCCTCAAATAATCATGCTTCGGATACATGCATTATCCTTGCACAATTGTGCTTTGCAAATAAGAATACTACGCACCCATGAGATGGCTCACATAATATAGCTCCAGATGATCCATTATTCTTATGCGACTGTGCTCTACAGACAACACTACCCTGCAAATATGACTATAGTCCATTTATTAGTACATTTATATAACAGTACTACCAGGAATTCCGCAATTTTCCTCATTGAGAATGCATACACATCAGTATTTTTCAGGCAATAGTTTTCCTGGAATATCCATGCACTTCACAGAATAGTGCTCCACTAATTATATCACTCCTGGAATGTCAATATTGCACACACAAAAATACTTTTAACATCATAGTACTCTGGGTGTAGCAATATTCTTCAAAGAATAGTATTCTAGGCAATTCACAGGATTTACACAATCCTTTACTTCATATAATGGAGCCGTTAATCTTAAATCGAAACACTTCACATAATGCTATTCCAGGCAGATTCCTACACATTATCGTACATCATTCCATACACAATAGTACTGTTCTTCGAATAAAAGTATTATTCTCAAAAAAGTACTCTTAATATAACAATACTGCTTGCAGACATGAAGTGTTCAGATAATA